CCTGCATTCAGGTGTCTTTGTTAGATGATATCAGCACTACAATTCTCTGTGTTCCTTCTCACAAAAGAAGCTGTTATCTGCGTGAGGCATGCTGCACATTGCCCTGGAGCACAGCTGCTTTGAGTTAGAGGAGTAGCTCTGAAATCTCACGGTTCCCACCCGAGCCCCCACCGCATACTTTAGCTCGTGTAAACACAGGGAGATAACTCCGCAGTGTTTCTCTCGGCTGGAGCGATAAGGGTCGTTTTACTGTGCTGCAGGAGGAGGAGGAAATGAGAGCGCTGTATTCCTGAAGAGCATTCCTCGTTTTCCAGCTGCGCTCTGGGTGTATCCGAGCTCCCAATGAGGACCGTGATGAATTGCTGTGGGACAGTCCAGCCAGGAATGACAGCACTGGTTTTAACCGGGGAAAAGGCATCATTAGCCTGTTCTGTGTCCTGCAGGATTCTGTATACCGAGGGTGGGATGTTGAAACGGAAGCATAGCTCGTTCCAGTCTTTTTAAAACCCTTGCCCTTCTATAGCATTTGCTTAGCCCCAGTTTCCTTCTTTATTCATGTTTAAAAAAGGAATTCTAAACTAAAATTTAGGCCAATTTCTGTTCTTCATGGCTACAAGAAACCGCTGAGTGAGCCCTGACGTCTGTGAAGTGCTGCATGTGGGAGAAGAGTTGGAGAAACTATTTTTTTTTCAACATTTCTGGCCATTTAGACTTGCCGCTTAAACCTAAAAACTGGAGTTATTCTCCAGCTGTTGTTTGCATGAATGAAAACTGTGGAAAACCCCTTATAAACATAAGATAAAACAAGCATTGCGGGAGGGCTATGGCAAAGAAAAGATTTTGAGCTGCTTTTTAAGCATCTTTGCAGTGCCATCCAGTGGGGCACTGCGGCATCTGTCGCCCTGCGCTGGGTGAAGTTCTGCCCATCGCATCTTCAGCACCACAGCAGGACCCTCACACCCTCCTGGGGCTCGCCCTGCTCTGTCTCAGTGAAGGGACGAGGATGGAGGAGTGACGATCCCTGGGGATGCTGCTGGTTGTCTGCAGAGGTTGCTGCAGAAGCTGCACAGACTGATCTGCATCGCCCCATCCCACTCTGTGCAGCCCCATGCTGGTTGTGGCACAGCCACAGATTATTTAGGGTTTGGCAGGAGACACAGAGTGTTGGGAGTCTGTCTTTGAGGCAGTTATTGGCAGCTCTTTGAGCCATCCTCCTTTTGCATGTTCACCCCACTGCAGCCAGAAACCTTAGGCTGTGCACAGGAGTGTGTTACAGAGCTCCCTCAAAGACTACAGCCTGGTGACTAAATCAGCTGGTTTATTAAAAGGTATTTCCTATTTCCATTTAAACTCACAAATAAAAAAAAAAAAAAGAGAGAAAATGACATTATTCACTGTGCCAAAATTCTCTAGACCCCTTCAGATATAATGCCAGAGGAGAGCCCCCCATGCCAGGAAGCTCAGGTGGTGGAGACTTCAGCTGCATTTTACCTGATGGTCTATCCAGACTCTAACTTTTGCACGTTGCATACTTGCTTTCCTGCTCCATGATTTCATTTCTAATGGCTATCACTTGTTTCTCTAGTTGTCTCAGTTGCTCTGCCTTGTCTTGTTTGGTTTGATTCAGCTCCTGAAGCTTCTTCTCCAAATCTGGAAAAGCAGAGACATGCAATGATGCCCACAGTTGTTTAAGTAAAATCCAGGGATTAACAGCATTTATTTTCCCAGAAGTTTCAGAGGCAATAAGCCCATTTCAAATGGAGAATGTTATATATGCAACTGGAGGGAAAAGGCTGACTTCTGCACAGCAAAAGAAGTGTGACAGCCTTAAAGAAATTGATTTCTCAGCATGTGCTCTTTGTCCATCAGCAAGGATGGGGCAGGACATGGAGCTCTTACAGGACTTGGTTTAAATGCAAACACTCAGAGGAACAGTGTGTGCACTGATGTGTGTAAAGCCCAGACAATTTGGGCATAATGGGCCTAGGTCTCCCTCACTTATCTGAATTCTGCTGGTTCCTGTGAAGCTGCACCAATGACTGATACTGGTAATGAGTCAAACCCACAGTATTCACTACTTCTTTCCAATGCCCTTATCATATGGACATTTGGAATGACTGGGATGCTCTTCATACTTCTCCTCAAGTTATATACTCAAAATATTTATTCAGTATCTGGTTTATTCTGCCACTGCTCAGAGATAGTCTCTGAAGGGGAACAAGTTTGGTCTGATGGAAAACAGCTCCCCTGCAGCTCTATAACACAAACCATCACTCGGGTAATGTAAGGAAAGAGAGCACAGAGGAAGGATTGAAGGTCCAAATCCCAAAGTGACTGCATAAATCAGGGCCTCCAGCTAAGTTTTATGCAGATTTTGCACTTGTCCTGTTTGTAAACTGTCTGAATAAAATCACTGCAAGTCCCTGTGCAGACACTTCTGAAACTCTGCTTATAGCAACCAATTTATGTCAGAAAAAGTAAATGAGACAAATCAATTCAACTGCTTTTAACCTGAGTAGCTTCAGGCAGAGTTTTTCACCAGTTACCCTGTTTTAAACCCAGTTTCAGGTGAACCTAGTCTGTTAGTGTCTGTGGGCAAGGATTCAGCCTTGAATTCATGACTGTCACAGTGTTTACTGCTCCCTATGGAAGTGAGAACACCACCTGTTATTCTTTTCATCTTTCTTTCAGTCTCTTCAGCCAGTTTTTCTGCTTCTTCTTTCAGCTGCTTTACTTTTTCTAGTGTTACATTTGGAGGTCCTTGGGCTGTTAGCTTGCCTTGAAGAATGGTGTACTTTCTTTTAATGTCAGCAAATTCCTGTAACAAAATGCCATCATTAATGATGTTTAAGAGCATCTCATCATTAATCTGGGGTACAGAAGAAGATTTTTATACTTTTTTAAAACATCCTCTTTGAACCAAACTTCATATTTCTCATTCTCCTAAATATTAAAAAAAATAAATGTATGTACATAGAAATATGCTTTGCAAAGCATGACAGAAATCAGTTAAAACAAATTGCCAGTGGAGTAATCTAAAGGGGGGGAGGGTGAGAATATAAAGCAAGTATTATTTACTATTTTTAAGGCTTATGCTGTTTTTACTTCTGTTGTTAGGACTTTTCTGTAAATTTCATTTTGCCACGAGGCTTAACTCAAATTTAATGAATCATCTGCAGCAATATTGGGGCCTTTTTACATTTTTGGTGGTAGCAATATTTCCTGGCTAATCCATTCCCTGCTGATCTAGGCTGCTGTTGAGGCTGCAGTTTAGATTTTGCCTAAGTCTCTTACAACTTGGGAGCATAGTCATGCTCCAAGCTTGTGCTGTGGGTTTTTCTTGCAATTTTAGCAAATTTCTAGCTGCAGTCTCAAAAAACCAGAGCTACTTAAAAGCACCAAGCCAACCCAAAGCTCCAAGTAACTCCCTGCAGCATTTTTCCATGAAGGAGAATGGCACAGGATGAATGACCAGGCTGCTTCCAGTGCTCCCATACTTTAATATCTGGTTTTGTGATTTGCTCTGTTGTGTTTACTGGTGCTCATGGTGACTACAAGACTTATACACAGTGCAAGAAAAAAAAGTCACAGAGTAGCCAGAGAAATGTGTATGTTTTCATTCATTTGGGCAAACAGAAGTGTTGGATGCCAGAAGCCTTAAAATAAAAAATAAATTATTCTTAACCTGTGACATTTTACACTGCATGGGCATAAGGAAAACGTTCACAGTTTTGAGGACAGCAGAGTAACACTTCTGAAGCAAAAATACCATTAAATATGAAGGGATGTTTTACACTTAATTTTTTTCCCCTTAATTTTTTTTCCCTTTTCTGCCCTAATTTTTCCCCTTACATTATCAATATCCTGGGCTTGCTTGTGTGCTGCTTCTGCCTCTGCTCTTGCCTTTGTAGCTTGATTCTTGTTCATCAGTGTTTTTGCCTGCCATGTGGCAATTTCATCTTCCAGCTCAGTCTGTTTTGCTGACAAGTCGTTTAGTTCATCGTTTGTCTTGTTCACTTGGTTCTCAGCCTAAAACAGAACAATTGAAGGCTGTGGTTTCTTATGCAATGTCTATCCAGCTTGCAGAGCATGGTCAGGAGAGAGACAGTCAACAGATTCAGAGATCCTTAAGCAGTATGGAATTGGTGTCATATCTGTGCCACATTCTGTTCTTCTTTGCTTACATCAAGGAAATTTAAGGATGTAGCATCTCTTTCTAAGATGTGTATAGCAAATACATGAAAAGATTTACAGCAAGATACCTGGGAGATCTGTGTTCTGATGCCTCGTATCTCTTCATTTAACTTTGTGATGGTGTTTTTGGAGCGTCCTTGGGACTCCACAACGTGTTTTAGTTTATCATTAATTTCATACACAGGCAGAAGAGCTTTAGCTGCTTTGCTAAAAGGGAAAAATAGAAGTGTGTGTAGGATTGTGGTGTGGAGAGCAAAGCAAGCACATGTTTCAAATGCAGCCACACTGACATGCAGAAATGTTTCCTCAGGTCCAACAACAACCATTAAAATTGTGGTTTGTAAGTTAGTAAAGCAAAAAGCTCAGTAAGAGAATTTGTGTGGGAACACCTGAGCTGCATTGGGTGGTGCATTGCTAGAAGGGAAGGCTCACAGGTGAACATGTTTTTTCTCTTGTCGGTTCTTTCTCACCCTTACTTAAACCACCCAGTGAACCAGATGGAATGCTCCACCAGGTCCAAGGTGGAAGTAAGTAGCTGCTTTGGCCTCTCTGACTCAGCAGGCAGAGGAGCCAAGAGCTGCTTCCCTGCAGCATAACAGCTCCTGCAGCCCAAGCAGTGATGGCTCCTTCCTGCTGGAGAGGTCCTGTGGAAATGGCAAGGTGAAATCTCCTGTCATCTGTACTTTCCCTCCAGCATTACTAGGATCCTGCCAGGGGTATTGAGCAGTCCTACCGTGCCCAGTGCCACCCCAGCTGGAGTTGACATGTCAATATGAGAATACCTTACTTACTCAGCTTCTAGTGCCTCCACCAGCAGCATCTGAGCGTCCTCCTTTTTAATGCTTCTCTTATTCAGTTTGTACTTCTCACAGTGGTTCATAATGCTCTTGATTTTGCCAAGCATGTCTGTGAGCTCTCCTGGAGTCAGGGCAAGGTTTATTTGCAGAACATGATTTGCTACCTTCTCAATGTCTTCGGGAGGAACGTTCTCATCTGCAACAGAAACGGAGCTGAGAGTATCCTGGAGCAGCTCTTTCCTCCCAGTGAAAGGTAAATGGTCATTATGGCTGCTGACCCTTGGAGTCATGTGGGAGAATAAAGCTGACAGGCACAGCGAGGGGGGAAGAGAATTATCTCCAACATTTTGTAACTTAATATTATGCTTTCAGGTACTGCAGTTAGAGTTGTCAGAACTGGCTAAAATGAGGATTTGAACCCACTTTGAACTGAGTTATTAAAATTCTGATGCAGAACTGAGCCTGGGGAAGGTTTTAAATCAGTGCCCAGCACAGCTAGATGTGTCAGGCCCCATTTCTCCCCTGGCCCACAGATCAAAGAGGTGCTGGTGAGACTGGGGTGTGTATGGAGCTTTCCAAGCTGGTCAGTGGGTGTAATCCCTTTCCTGGAGTCACCACAATATTAAGAAAGTAGTTCCTTCACTGGTTAATGAGAAAGGCTAAGCTGCAGAGGGAACTTGGGTCAAACTCAGCTAGAATGGGAATTTACAATAGAAAAACCATATTTTGATAATTCCCACTACAAATGAGCTTCTCCCAGCTCTTTGCTAAGAGGCACAGGCACAGTTAGAGCAGTCAATGCCTCGTGAAGTCTCATCATCAGCTCTGTTTTCTGCTTACTTCCATTTATAGAAAAGACCTTGTGTGATAAAACAGTTGAAACATATTAAATGTTTGAGCTAATGCTCCAGAGTAACTGAGCAGGAATTAAATACAAGATATTCAGAGTGCAAGCAGTAGTGCATTCCTGAGAGCTATTTTCTGTAAAAATATGTTCTTCCAAAATCACCCTTACATCAATGTAGAGTTCAGGAGATCTAATGGAACTCTATGCATCTCAGCTGTCACTGTTCTTACACTTGAATTAACAAAAGAAAGATTGGAAAAAATGCTTTTATGATTGTTAGTAAATGCTGTATGTTTACTAAGAAACAGAAAAGAAGAGCTAAAGGTGGAATTTTCAGTTGCTATCAAACAAAAATCTGAGAACTGTAAGGAATTAAATGGACTTAAATCTTCCAGTTCAATAAAACAATTTAACTGTTCCTGAACAAAAGAAGTCCTGTGTCCTCTGCCCTCACTCCCATTTGGACATAGAGGTATAGATGCCAAAGTCCTGCCAACATGCAATCCATAGAAATTTATGAGATCAGCTGCATTCAAGAGGTTAAAAAAATCCTGTCACATTGGAACCTCTTTGATGTGCATCTGGTAAAAAAACTTTGGGTCAGTTTCTTACAGCATTTTTCTGCAGTTGTGAGGGTGGAAATTTTTTTGTGTTATTTTTTTTGTGGGAGCTGTGAAGTTCTACCAGAATTCTTTGATTCCTCGAGTCACAGCTTTAGGGAGACGATGGAGCAGTATGTGTCCTAATTCCCACGCTCCCTACGGAGAGCCTCTATTTATGGGCCTGGAAGAAGGGGGTGGAATAACAATATGAGGATGCATTGGACATGCCTGGCCATTATATATTGTATTGAAATTATCTTAGCAGTGCTTTACTCAGATAAACGAGGAACAGAAGAAATTACTTGTGTGCTTCAAATTAAGCACATTAAAAAAAGATTATAATCAGAATGTAACAGCTCTGCTGTAAAATTAATAGGAAGTGGTGTCACCTGGGAGAAAGGAACACTAGAAAAAAAGGGATTGAAAAGGATTGCGCAGATCAGGAGATAGACAAGAAATTTCATGTGTATACAGCTAGATAACTTTCTGGCTATTATGCTATGTTATATTGGAATATATATCTGTCTATAGATGAGTCAAAAAGATTTCATATTTACCTAACAAGAAGTCTTTCACTTTTTGGATGAACTCCTTAGTGATCTCTCCATCAACCTCAATCTGATTCTTAGCCCTCTCCAGCTGCCAGATAAATTGTGAACTTTTCAGTTTGCTGTCTTCTGCCATCTTTCTAATGCTTCCAACCTGGAAATATGATTAGAAATAGCAGTGCCATTTTCTGGAGGTTACCTATCATTGCTTGGCAAGTTGAGCTCTGACACAAAAATGATTTTGATCCAAGCCTTAGCTGGAATCACTTGATGGGTCTTTGCAAAGTAGTAGGAGACCCCTTTGGGGAACTTCAGAAGCTGCTCCATCTTGACCTTCATCTGGCCTCAGAAAAAGCCTGAATCAAGCATTTTTTTTTCTCTCTGCAACTACTGCTAAGCCACAGCCCCTTAGAAGGTGCTGATGGTTGTTGCAGTACTGCAGCATGTCAGTGATCAGATTCACATCTATTCCAGAAAATGTAATTTCATTTGTCTTTTCATATTGGACCTGCTGTTAAAAAAAAATCAGCACTTAAAGAGGACACAAATAAAGAAGGTAGAGTTCAAGGCTTGTCTTTAAAAGCTATAATTTGCCCTTAAATTACTACTCTTGATTATTTAAATGAGAGCTTTAGAATAACCATCAAATCCCAGCAGTAGTTTGCTTTGCTAGGGGCTTTTCCTTAAGGAAAGGCACAGGTACCACCTCTCTGCAGTCTGCAGAGGGAAGAGATTCAGTCCTTCCCCATGCAAAGAGAAAAACAATGATGTTTTTCCTTCTGAAATGTCTCAAAATAGTTCACTCATTATCATGGAGCTGCCTGAGGCCTGTGAGCACTAAAGGCAGTGTCCCAGCAGCCTGGCTCTCCACATCTCAGCGATGCCTTTTGCTGCTGCCCCTCTGTGTCCTGTGGTCCCAGCCCTGTGCCCTGGTTGCTCATCTCTAAACCTGCATTTTAAACAGAGGAAATGGATGCCCACACACCCTGCAGGGACAGGGCAAAGCCACAGCAGAATGACAGTTCTGTTGGAAAATGTGTTTTGCCTATAACTGTAACAGGCATCATCTCTGATTGTGAATAAGACCAAACTCTTCACTGGTGTTTTGGGATTTGTCTGTTTTGTTTCCTTGGCACATGTTGCATCGGCCACATTTTGCTTGAATTATTTTTCACTGCTACTGTGCAGTAGAGCTGACTAATTGATGCCCTCCTGAACATCACTGGGGGCAGAAAAGCTTCATCTTGAAATTATTTGCAAAGATTATTTAATGGCAAACATAATAGTAGTATGAATTTGTATAAACACAGCTTAACTCTGTGCACAGCAGTAATCATATTGCAATAAGCATGTCAGGCTACTGACAAATGGTGCCATTTGAATCTTTCCTACTAAAAATATAGACAATACTAGCCTGATGCCCCCAAATTCCATAGGCACAGAGCACCACAACCTGTGAAGTCTTGGCAGCTGTGAGGAAAAAGAAGACATAGCTAGAGCCACAGTCTCTTGGTGGAGCTGGCATCTAATACTCCCAGTACTGAACCATGATAGGTCTGTGATGTTGGGACAGGGTCCATCACTATGTCAACGATGAGTTTTCGTAGATTTGTGACCTCCCAAATCTCATCCTCCATCCATTTCACTGAACAAATAGAGGTTTGATATACAGCACCTGATTCTCAGGTTCCTGTAGCTGAGTAGTCAGGTTTTTTAGCCACACAGCAGTCTTCTCAGCTATCCTGAAGGCCTCAGTGGAGAGAGGAAATGCTCCATTGCAGTTTGGGCCACCACACTGCCTGAGTCCGTGGCTGTCCCGGCACGAGGCTCCTCCACAGGCTGCTGAGACACAGGGCTGGTCTCCTGGCACACCACAGATCTGCAATAAGGAAGACTCTTATGTCAGGATTCCTCTGGGGGCCTGAGCTACATCCTGAGGGGAGCAAGATGTTTAACATCATATGAACATTGAACATAGGATGGGAGTTTCCCTAAGACACAGTGGTCTGGTAGCTCTAAAGATGGGGATCACTGCCAGTTACAGGTCCCTCTTCCCTGGTTTAAAGGATGCCCATGGCTCTGAGCATACTTGCAGTAGGTATTGGGTTCCATGTGTAGCATTAAGACCCATTCTTCAGTCAATGGCTTCTAAAGGATTCAGATCACCTCTCACACAACATGGTACCATCTCTAGCCTTCCATATAGTTTGACACAGATGTTGAAACTGAAGGCTTAGATGGATGATCTCTTCCAGATCTGAAGGTTCTATCAGGTATTTATTGCTGCTCTGCAGAAGGACAGAAATCCCTTCCTTTCCCATAGGTAATGCAAAGGATATGTGAGCACTCCCCATCCAGTCCAGGGCAAAGAAGCTCTGCTTGGTTTAAGTTAGTCATGGAGAAGGTTTGGGTTAATCTTGCTGAAATTACACTGATGTCCTCCTGAGGCTAGAGAGTGCTTAAAGGGTTCCTGGTGCTGGGTCTGCCCCGTGGCTCCCAGGAGGTTGGTAATAACTACAGCTGAGAAGTGCATCTGTTTCTGATGTGACCACATGGCTGTGCCAGGGAAGTGTAATTTTTCAGATTTAAAAATGCATGTAAGCACCCTTTTAAAATAAAACCCACTAAAACATCTAGAAAGAGATTCAGAGCACCTACCTTTTCATTCAAGTTCTGGATGTCAGGGCTTTTGATCATTTTGAGCTGTTGCAGCACACTGGTTGCTTTTAAGACCTGATGGTCCAACATAGCAACTGCATTGTTCCTAGTGTACTCTGAGTATCTTACAATAGGGATTGTCCCCCTGGTCTTCTGTTCTGCCAGAAATGAGGCTTCAGAGTGTTTCCTAATGTTGCTGATGGCCTCTGTAGTAACAGAAATAGGGTTTAGTACCAAATGGATTTTGGTTGCATACTGCATTCTGAACAATTGGTGAGTGACAGATGTTTCAGTTTGGTGCTACTGGTGTTTGATTTGGGACATCAGGGAGGGACAGGAACTGTCATTTCCTCAGCCAAGCTTTTTAGTCCTCTACTCATCCACTTGCCAAACAGGAATAATTATTGATGCTCATAAAAGCTAATAAAATAGATGAAAATATGGTGGATCCCATGTCATTCTTCAGAGTCCAAGGTGTGTGAGAAGCCAATGGAACAGACCAAAGTATGAAGGAGATCCCATTAATGACACAAACTGCTACTGCTCTGCATTCATCAGTAACTCAGGCATTGCTGCCATTGTTGAGCTGATAAAAGCTCTTGTCAGAGCTGGATGTGGCACTTAGTGCCATGGTCTAGTAACCATGGTAGGGTTGGACTCAATAATCTTTGAGGTCTCTTCCAACCAGGTTGATTCTATGATTTATGCTGTTTTGAAGTTTAGGCAAGGAGAACTGTTTCTGCCAGTTGTTGAACCTATGAAATGATCAGCTGTAAGTCAGGAAAGCATTCATCCTTTCTGTTCAGCATAGCGCCCAAGATTTAAATGGCCTGCTAGACTGAGGCCAAATTTAGACTACAAATGCGAATTTATGAGGGACTTTTTGGCTCTGGAAAAATCCAGTTTCAGGACTGATTCATTAAAACCACCCAGTTCCACAATAAACTTGTAGGCCAGGCAAAAAATGCTTTCCAGCAAGAGTCTTGTTCGCTTAGTGAAAGATTTCCTTAAGCAGACTCAAAAGGGTTGGAGACTATTACAATTTTTTTCAGATTAATAGCCTGAGGAAAGGACTCAGGCCTTTTGCAAAACACATAATTTAAAGCTGCTGCTGCTGCTGCTGTTGAGGCTTCCCAGATCTCCAGAGAACCCAAACTTGTCCCCAAATTCCTAAGCAGAAATATGTGCAGAGCCAAAACTGATGTGTCGACAGTGAGAAAGCATTAAAGGTCACTGATCAACATCTCTCTTTGTGCTGGTAACTGACTCAGTTACTAGCTGAAGTCAAAGACAAGGCACTCATCACGTCCTGTGGACTTTGATTCAGGCACTAAAGCCCTTGGCCTTGCTTTGATTGAAGCTGAACAATGCTTAGTTATCATGTGGAACCAGAGCTATTTATTTATCTTGTAACTGCTGGAAACAATGTACAGTTGAAAGTTAGCTCCTAATACAAAATACCTGGTGAGAGACTGCTCAAACTCCACATCTAAGCCAGAGATTCTTTTCTGTGCAACAATTCTATTGCAGGAATATTTTGCAGAGGTTCAGCTCTCCATTAAGTGGCCCAAATGCGTTTTCCATGTTTGGTTTGTGATGGAGTTGTAGAGCTTCCAAGTTCCTTTGCATTAAACACAGTGTCTTAGCCCAGGCTTGATTTACAGCCTAGGAAGATGTACTCACTGCATTACTGTACCACAGTGGCTGCAGGGCCAGGGGCCAAGGCCAGGAAGCTGTAATTTAATGAGATCTCATAAACTGCAGACTTTCTTTTAAGGACACTTGTGTCCTGTTTTTTCCAGTGATTTTAATTCATTATTAGATATTGACATTTCCAGGTCAGTTAGCTGAATATGCCTGTGAGGAAGACTCTGCAAAGAGAAGAAGGTTAGAGCCCTTTCCCCACATGTGTCTAGGGCACAAGTGCCAAATGTGCCTCAGATGGTCTATGTCACTCTATCCTGCTCTACTCTAGCAAAAAAGAGAGGAAAAAGCAGCCAGAGTCATATGTAAGATGTGCTGCTGGTTGCAAAAGGAAGATGGGGGAAGGAGCCAGTCTCTCTCCCAGGTAACAGAGAAGCTGGTTTTCTTGAGGGAAATGTTATTTTTGTGCTGTTAGATGCTTGGTAGCAGGGCCAATTAATATTTGTGTCCCTGATAGGAAATTCAGCTTACATTCAAGGTCTTCCTTTCCCCACCCCCCATGTGCTTTTTATAGGGCTGTTTATCTGTCTCCAGAGGCCAAAAGATGAAGTGGGTTTGGAACGTGACCAGAGAGCACCATGGATGCTTCAGCTGTGCATCCACTGACCTCCCTGGGATTTATTGTTTCTTTGCCTTTCTGCCTTTCTCAGAGTCTACACCAGGCTCAGCTGAATGGGAAGTGGAGCCTGGGAGAGCTGTGCTGACTGTTTGCACAGGGACCTGAGGGAAGAGCTGCCAAGTACAACAGGGCAGGGGAGCCCTAAATCTTAGTTAGTCCCTCTTTCCCCTCTTCCTTTCCCTCCACTTTATATTCTGTTGACTTCTCCTTTTTTTTTTTCCCCCCAATCTTTTCTTGGCCAATCATTTTCTTGCCTGAGTGAAACACAGAGGAACTGCAAATGGCAGTGCATTGTCTGTAGCTTGTGTCTTCAGTGGTGGGCAACTTATCTTCTGGGGGTTCATATCTTGGCATCCATCTCTTTGGAGAGTTTTCTGCTGACCATCTCCTGCCATTGTAGATGATCTAACACCTGTTTGTGATCCCTGACTGATATATCCCCATCTTTCTCCAGAAAGATGTCTGTGACATTGCTGTTACAGCTATTAGCTGATGGAGACTATACTTAGCTCAAGCACAGATGGTGCAATTCTTTCAAAAATGGGAAGGAACTCAGTTCTGCCTTCACATTTCTTGATGATGGAGGGCTAGTTCTGTAACACATAAATTCATGTATTTTCCCATGGGAACACTAAGAAGTTGCACTATGACACTCAGCATGAATTAAACAAACTATTGCTGTACAACATTCTTTAGGTATTGCTAAGAGCAAGAGGAGACAGAAGTGGGGTAAAAATCCTTTGCTGTCTTACTGCATGAGCTGTGAGTCTGTACTGTGAAACTTTTATGTCCTGATGTAAACATTTGGGCTCCAAGGCATCTGACTGATGCGACCCTGGCACATGCATCTGGAATTTAGGATGCTAGAAATCATGGCATTTTAAGATAAAAGTGGTTTTAATTTCACTATTTCAGTAATTTGCTGGCTTACCTTTGAAGTTCAAGTAATGAAAATTCTGATGCAGTTGTATTTTCTGTTGTAGAAGCTCATACACTAGGTCAGCTTCTTCCCCAATGTCTTCTATGTTCTTGATAAGATCAGGAAACTCATATGGTAAACTGTGAAGAGGATCCATTTGTGCAACTTTTTGTCTGAAAGGGAAATGGCAGCGATGCAGAAGTCAGACCAGGTTGTTCTTAAACTAGAATCGACTTACACAATATTTTTGAGGGCAAGAGATACATTTCTAAATGAGCAGAAACACTTCATTTTCATGGCTTATTTAAAAAACCCTTTGAATGAACTGGAAAAATTCCAGCATTTAAGCATATGTCTGTGCGGGACAGACATAGATAAGGATTATTTTGTTCACAGTTCTATTGAAAACAGTGACTTAGTAGTCCAGCATCTGTGTGCTTATGAGAAGTGGGAGTTGATGTGTAGGGATGACTGGTGGAGGGCAGGGGAAGACTATTTCTCAGACAAGGGAGTAGCCTAGCCCTTACTGAAGGTAGCCCTGAAAATCCCTGATGCCTGAGAGGGCTGTCAGTGAGAGGACAGGATGTCTCAAAATCTGTTCAGTTTCAGAAATGGCATCTTCGAGGACTTTGAAGTGCATGTCACAGCTGGGCATTCGTCCTCCTCTACCTTCCAGCTTTGCAGCAAACCTCATTAACCCCTGAACGGTCTGAGCGAGGGCAGTGATTTCAGTGTCCCACTGAGCAAAGCAAAGGTGGCACTGATGGCAAGAAGGGAAGTCTCTCTCGAAGCCGCGGCCGCACTGGTTGCAGAACCGGCCGCTGACGCCCGCGCGGCAGTTGCACGCGCCGGTGGCTTTGTCACACGTGGGCTGGTGTGTTCCCTCCGGGTTGCACTCACACACTGCAAGAAAGGGACAGCAAGTTACAGCCAGTTGTTCCTTTTCTGTGGGATCAAAAGGTAATCATTGTGTGATTCAAGTCAATAGAAGCGAAGCGGCATTTGAGCGAGAGCAAAGCTGATTGCATGGCTAATGGCTCTTCTTCATCATATGACTTGCATCATAACACAGAAATAACAATAGAGGTAAATAATGCAAACACTTAGGTCCATCTGATGCACACAGACATATCAAAGCCTGTTTCTCTAGATGTGTGTCCCATCTTCCCTGTGAATAGAAAAGCTAGACATTTATTTCGAGGCAGTTTCTAACCCAGTTGTCACCACTTAATAACACTTACAAATGCAATACATCTGAGGATTCCCAAAGTAGTTTTCCTCACATTCGTCACAACGTCTTCCGCTGTATCCTTGCTTACATGGACACTGGCCTGTAAACTACAAAGACAGGTAGGATTGAGTTGAGAGCAGAGCCATATGGCTGGATATACATTATTTAAGGTGACTTAAGTTGTACAGCTGTGTGGGGACTGCAGCAGCACTGCTTGCCCAGTCTTTGAACACCATGGTTTACACAGTA